CAATCATTTACAAATCGAGTCAAAAACAAAAAAAACGATTCCTTCTACTTACGGGAGACTTTTCATGGTCGGAGTCCTTGATCTCCAGTTGTGGTCGCGCTGCCTGCACATCGTGATGCAGAGCAGGAAATGCCAGCGCCTTGGCAGCGTCCGTGGGTCCCACATAAATGAAACCATTGCGCAACAACTCAAAGTTATCAAAGGTTATCTCGCTGATGATTTGCGTCTCGGAGAGTATCACTGAACTGGTCGGCGGTTGCTCCACGCCACTGCCACCCAGCGGATCATCATCCTCGTTGGCAGCGGCAATTTCGTGTGTCGCCTCCTGGGCATTGCCATTCAAATCCTTACTCAGGTCACTGCGTTGCTGGGGCCAATCGCTGGCCACCTGCGTGGCTCGCCGTGAGTTAATGGGATTCTTTTGATTCGAGAACGAAGACCGATGCTCAAAGGGCGGCTCAAAGTGATTGCTGCCGTAGAACAGCTTGAGAAAGTTCCACAAGGTGGTGGCCTGCAAATGATGGTAGCTTATAATAGTAGTCCCATAATGCCAGCTGCTTCACTTACATTGTGTTTTGCGTATTTCTTGGACACCTCCGAATTGTGCTCGCACAGCTCGGCCAGCTTCTTGCCGCTCATCATCAGCTCTCGGGCGCATCCGATAAAACATTCATGCTCGAGGCGAGGTTTCGAATCGGCTTCATTTAGGGATAAGCTCGAAAACTGTGTTCAAGATTGCGTTTAAAATATGGCTTTAGGTTCGGCAATGTATCTGTTAGCTTACTGCATCTTTCACCATGAATTTGTACATCCGGGAATGGTCCAAGTGGAACTGAATGCTCCCCGCCACAATGGACTTTCTGCGGTTACTATGGATTGGAAATTATTTACAAACGAATGCAAAATTGTAGAATATTTCAGACATACATGAAGCTGGAACTGGTCTTTGTATTGGATGCACCGCTCGTCTTGGGTGCGTATTCCTTGATTTTATTGGCAAACGATATGTCACCGTATCGGCCCAGACTGGCACCCTGTGCATTGGCCTTCAAAGCCGGTCGTGTGGCATCCTCGAAGGCGTGCTTGTGTAGGGTGGAGTCCTTGCTGGTGGAGAGCAGACAATGCGAATCACTGCCCAGCCAAGCAATGCCCGTCGTCACATTTGTGTGCTCATTGAAGGAGGCGAATGGTATATAGGGCCGCCGTATGTCCCACACATGAATGCTGTAGTCCACCACCAAAGCACAGCTAGCAATGTGATATCTGTGAAGGAAGAGTAAGCCAGGATATTAGCATGATATAATGATCTCGAACCAAATCAATCTTTACGCACGTTCGTTCTGGTCGCCACTTGACGCGTCCCACCACAGCTATCGTGTGTATTGTATACTCCAGGCCTGGCCGTCCATCCATGTCCCACACCTTTATTTGCTTGTCGCGGCTGCCGGTGGCCAGCCAGTTGCGCGTGGGATGCCAGTCACAGGTGTACACGGGTCCATAATGCGCCGTAAACTGCACCATGCACTTGTCCCACTTGCGCATATCCCACAGCTGGACGGTGCCGTTCTCCGAAACGGCTGAGAATATATTTTGGGCATGTGGACTGAACTTCACATCACGCACGGACTCCGAGTTGCTGAAGTATGTGTTCACGGACTTGTCCGAGCGTATATCAAAGCACTTGATGGTGCCATCCTGGGAGCCAGATATCAATATGTTGGGTTCGCTGCTGTGGAACGTCACCGTGTGGGCAGTGCGCTCGTGCTCGTTGTAGACAAGCAGCTGCTTCTGGCGACCGCACTTGGAGTGGTCCCAAACTGATACAACGCCATTGGTGGCCGCCGTGGCCAACAGATTGCAGTCCATGGTGCTCCAGGCAACGTCGTTGGACGAGTAGCTAAGATTTTGGTTCTTCCCGCCACGCATATTACACACTTCCCTAAAGCCATAATCGTCAATAGAATAGACCTTGAGCACTGCGGAAAGCAAAAGAATGTCATGTCTTAACTTTTGGTCGATAATCATATAGGATTGTGGATTCTTACAGCTACGCCCGGCCACTGCGATCAGAGAGTTGTCCTTGCTGAGGGCCAAGGCATTGGCATGCCCCTCCATGCAGATCCGAGAGTCGGGGAAACGCATTTTGTTAGAACAGCTTGAAAATTTGTGCTGTTTCGGGAAATACCATTTAAATCGTAAGAAAACCTATCCGTCGATGAAACGATACTTAACCCACTTCACACCCCTCTATTTAAAAAGTTGAGCACCCTTTGTTAAACCGCGGAGAGTAATACTGTTTGCAAAGGCTCCTTGTAGCTCCATCCTCCTCTTTACTTACAAAACAAAAATTACCTCCCACATCTTTCACCTGTAGTGCGTAAAATATGTTAAAGTTAGATAAATTTCGTGGAAATATTAAATACCCCCCTTGTCGACAATGGGATAACGTTCTATTTTATTGATTGAAATCGTATTCCATAATTTAGATATTCAGTTTAATATTACTAGCTAGTTGGCCCTCTCAGCCCTAAATAAATAATTTTATCCTACAGATATATCAATTATCCACAAGATTGGCTAGTTTTCCTAGTCCTTTTTATTGCATTGTTTACATAAAAAGGTTCAAACAAAAACAACATAAAACGAATGTGACGTCGTTGTTGGTGGCGTTGCCCATTCGCAGACAATTTTGCCTTTTTTCGATGGTATGAGTGGCGTTTTCCAGCACTGTGCGGGCCGAACAGCTGACAGCACACGATTAAGTGGCAACGCTGTCGGTCATCGGAAACAGGCGTCCTTTTAACATTTTTTCCTAATTTCGTCTGCGAGCAAATTTAAAACAATTAATTGTTGAGAATTACGGGTGGTTGAGCAACCAGCAGTTGGCATGCCGGACATAAAGATAACACCACTCGGTGCTGGCCAGGATGTGGGCCGCAGCTGCCTGCTGCTGTCGATGGGCGGCAAAAACATAATGCTCGACTGCGGCATGCATATGGGCTATAATGATGAGCGGCGATTCCCGGACTTCTCGTACATTGTGCCCGAAGGACCCATAACCAGCCACATCGACTGTGTGATCATATCCCACTTCCACCTGGGTAAGTAGGCGCGCGCCTTGGCCTTGGCGCCTTATCTCTGATGAAATTTCGTGAGACAGTCTAATCGTTTTTTCCCCAAAACTTATCAATGGCTGGTATTCAGATCACTGTGGCGCTTTGCCCTACATGTCGGAGATTGTTGGCTACAATGGGCCCATTTACATGACACATCCGACCAAGGCAATTGCACCGATCCTGCTCGAGGATATGCGAAAGGTGGCTGTGGAGCGGAAGGGCGAATCGAACTTTTTCACCACGCAAATGATCAAGGACTGCATGAAGAAGGTGATACCGGTGACGCTGCATCAGAGCATGATGGTGGACACTGATCTGGAGATCAAGGCCTACTATGCCGGTCACGTGCTGGGCGCTGCCATGTTTTGGATCAAAGTTGGCTCCCAAAGCGTAGTCTACACTGGCGACTACAACATGACGCCGGATCGCCATCTGGGCGCTGCCTGGATCGACAAGTGTCGGCCCGATCTGCTCATCTCCGAAAGCACCTATGCCACCACAATACGCGATTCGAAGCGTTGTCGCGAACGCGACTTCCTCAAGAAGGTGCACGAGTGTGTGGCGCGTGGCGGCAAAGTGCTGATCCCTGTGTTTGCCCTGGGACGGGCGCAGGAGCTGTGCATATTGCTGGAGACCTACTGGGAGCGCATGAACCTCAAATATCCCATCTACTTTGCCCTGGGCCTCACCGAGAAGGCCAACACGTACTACAAGATGTTCATCACATGGACGAACCAGAAGATACGCAAGACATTCGTCCATCGTAATATGTTTGACTTCAAGCACATCAAACCGTTCGATAAGGCTTACATCGATAATCCCGGCGCAATGGTTGTGTTTGCCACGCCAGGCATGCTGCATGCCGGCCTCTCGCTGCAAATATTCAAAAAGTGGGCGCCAAATGAGAACAATATGGTCATCATGCCCGGCTACTGTGTGCAGGGCACCGTGGGCAACAAGATACTCGGCGGTGCCAAGAAGGTGGAGTTCGAAAATCGTCAAGTGGTTGAGGTCAAAATGGCAGTGGAGTACATGAGTTTTTCGGCGCATGCCGATGCCAAAGGTTTGCATCCAACAGCAGATTCGACGTTGACTTTCTCTAAAGAACTTTTCTTATTTTTTTTGCAGGAATAATGCAGCTGATTCAAAACTGTGAGCCAAAGAACGTAATGCTCGTCCATGGCGAGGCGGAGAAGATGAAGTTTTTGCGCTCAAAGATCAAGGACGAGTTCAATTTGGAAACGTACATGCCCGCCAATGGCGAGACCTGTGTGATCTCCACGCCCGTTCGAATACCCGTGGACGCTGCCGTTTCCCTGCTAAAGGCCGAGGCTCGGTCGTACAATGCACAGCCGCCGGATCCGAAGCGACGACGACTCATCCATGGTGTACTGGTGATGAAGGACAATCGAATAATGCTGCAAAATCTAACAGATGCCCTCAAGGAGATTGGCATCAATCGGCATGTGATGCGCTTCACGTCCAAGGTGAAAATTGATGACCCCGGGCCAACGTTGCTTACCAGCGAACGTCTGAAGACACTGCTGGAGGAGAAACTGGTCGGCTGGACGGTGGCACTGCAGGATAATGGCTCCATCACCATTGAATCCGTTGAGGTGAAGGTCGAGGAGGATGCCAAGGATCCCAAGCAGAAAACGCTATTGATTTCATGGACCAACCAGGACGAGGACATTGGTGCCTACATACTCAGTGTACTGCAGAACATGTGCTAGATGCCCAACGAAACTCCCCCACAAATATGCCTTAATTCCATAGTTTGCTAAGCACAAAGTGTTTACATCGTTTTATGATATCTGAATGAATGAAAATAAAACATAAATATGTAGTCCGAGATCCAAACAAGAATCAATCATATTCCAATAGTTCGGTTCGTTCGTTCCACGCTATTTATTCTGGGAGTTATTCAGAAAGACTTTAACATTAATGTAATCCAAGGCGCTGCTCCTGGGCACCTTGAATCATATGCAATTACGTTTTATATCGTTGGAGCTGTTCGAACTGCGGGTTTCCGTAGGGGGACAGACGACAGCTTATGTGAGGGCAGCAGCACCAGAGATGATCTCAATCAGCTCGCGAGTGATGACAGCCTGTCGGGTGCGGTTGAATGTGAGTGTAAGTTTGTCAATCATCTCACCGGCGTTCTTCGAAGCATTGTCCATGGCCGTCATACGGGAGGACTGCTCCGAGCAGGCACCCTCCTTCATGGCGAAGAAGACGAGGGAGGCCAGCGAGAACTCCAAGTAGCTCTTGACGACATCGCTGTCGAGCGAGTCATAAGTGGCAAGCTTCTCAGACTTCTCGACAGTGGGGCCACCGAAGATGGGCAGTGTGCTGCACTGGTACGACACCACAGACTTGAACTTGTTGTACACGATCTTGCCCTCGGTATAATCGTAACCAGTGTTCAGGACCTCGTGGGCGATCTTCGAGGCATCCAGGAAAGTGGGGGGCAGACGACCGATTTCGCTGGCCACCATCAGGATGTTCTTGCCGTACAAACGAGCCAGAATGGAGCGAGACTTGTCGCCCACGCAGAACACCTTGGTTTTGGTATCATCGATGGCCAGCTCGCCGCGAATGAGACGCGCCACACCAGTGTGAACGGCACCGCACAGACCACGGTCCGATGTTACGGCGATGAGCAGCTTCTTGGGCTCGTCCTTCTCATCGGCCACGATCTCGGTCTTTTCGAAAAACTGCTGGGCACCGATGCCGTAAGGACGCGCCGCCTTCAAATCACGCTCGGCACGGGCGTATTTGGCCGCGGACACCATCTTCATCGATTGCGTAATTTTCTGAATGTTCTTCACCGATTTCAGGCGCATGGAAATGGTCTTCAAGGTGGCCATGCCACGCTGCTGCTGGGCCTGCATGGTGGCTTCAAGGGCCATGGGCAGCAAAAGCGTAGTGCGTTGCATCATCATCCTGTGAGCTGTCAAAGATTCCCTGCTCAGAAAATTAGCAAAAAATTACACACACAGTTAAAATCGGCAGCGAAAAATTACCTGCGTTAAGTTGGCTGCGCGACGACGATGTCATAACACCGATGAATTAGGGCTTCAAAACCATCGACAGCACTATCGATAGTATCGATTATTTTAGAGTTGGTCGCCAAATCAACGATCTATCGTTTCAGAGAAAATTAATTAAGCGCACAAGCAAAATTTATAACAAATCAATGCAATAAATATGATGAAAGGGAAACGCATCTCAGGATACCATCCGCTCCAGTACTGGAAATTGTATTTCGTTTAAATTATTTAAAAAGTTTTGACTCAACTATATCGATTGATACATCGATAAAAATATATCACGTTGGAAAATATTTTTGACCCCTATATAAAAAAAGTACCATAAATCAAAATAGCCATTACATTGGATTGGTGGCATGATATTTGTTCAAACCGAGCTAAAATCAGAAAATAATGAACGAGTTTCAGCCAACTGCACCTTATTCACGCCACAAACAACCTATCGATGTGATACCAATATTTAGCCCGCGACAATCAGCTGCTCGCTACTGCGATAGTTCGAAAGAAGAAGAGAAAAAGCTGACGTACTCCAGAAAAGATTAGAAATATTTTACCCAATAATTTAACTTCCTCCTTCCCCCCAAAAGCCAAGCTCGACACTTACTAGACTTCACTTCCGACTACTTAAACGATGAAACCACACAAAAGTCAAAGCAGATAAGAAGGCCCCCCTCACCACCCCCAACGATTGTGCTGTGTGCTGGAAAATTGTTGCTGCGCACAGGAGAGGAGAGGAGACGGACACGACAGAAGACGTAGACAAACCAAACGGGTGGAAAAAGAGGTCCAAAGCTGCCAGGCGGGCTTGGCTAACGTATGACGGAGATAAAGATAAAGCCCCACAGTCAGTGCATTGAAGAAAAGATACCAGCTGGCAAAATCAAGCGAAAAGTGGAGCTAACTAGGTGCCTTCAACAATAATATAATCAACAGCAACAGCTGCGTGAGTGTGTTTGTGTGTGCAATAGTGTGTGTGTGTGTACTGTGTGTTGGGTGCGCAGTGTTGTTGGTGCCGTCGTCGTCGTCGTTGTTGCGTCGTGGTGGTCGTGACACAACAGTAACAAAATATTGAGCCGTCGAGCAAAACACATAATGTGGTCGTTCTTCTCGCGCGACTCCACCAAAGACTTCCCCTACGACATTGGTGAACCAGTCAGTGGCTTCGACAACTACTCCATATGGACGCTGCACAAGGCCAAGCGCAAAGGCACCCTCGAGGAGGTCTCCGTCTTTGTCTATGACATACGCAGCGGCTCTGACACGAAATGTGAGCTGGCCAAGGCGGCATTGAAGCGGCTGAAAACGTTGCGTCACCCGAGCATACTGCAATACTTGGACTCACTGGAGACGGACAAGATGCTGTACGTGGCCACGGAGGCGGTGGATCCACTGGGCACATATTTCACCAAACTGGCCACAGACAATGTCCAGAAGGGCCTCTACCTGGCCTGGGGCATCTTCCAGATCACGGTAAGCCTCTGATGGCACTCAATAAATGTTCCAACTGATTCAATTAATTCTCTTTCAGCGTGCCCTGTCCTTCCTCAACAACGATGGCAATCTGAGGCATAACAACGTGTCTGCCTGGTCGGTATTTGTCAACGCTTCGGGCGAGTGGAAGCTGGGCAGCCTGGAGTATGTTTCCGCCGCCGATGGCAATCCCATGCCGCCGGTGAAAATCCCAGTCACCCTGGAGGTCTACGACTCGCCCGAGAAGAATGATCAGAGCAAGCTCAAGGCGGCCACCAAATGGTAGAACTCTCATAAAACTCTTTCTGCATAATTTACCTAAACTTTGTGGTTCTACTTCGCCAGTTCTGTGGACATGTGGGGCCTGGGCTGCCTCGTGTGGGAGGCGTTTAATGGGGTTCTGAAGCAGCGCTCGAACCTCAAGGATATCGATCACATACCCAAATCCCTGCAGTCGCTCTACTGCGAGCTGGTGGGTGCCTCGCCTTCGAATCGGCCCAATCCGGCGGATATCATTACCCGCTGTCGGAAGCCGGGCGGCTTCTTCAAGAACGATTTGGTGGACACTCTGCTCTTCCTGGAGGAAATCCAAATCAAAGACAAGGCGGAAAAGAATCGGTTCTTCAGTGGCCTCACCACACACCTGGACAACTTTCCCGATAATGTGTGCAAGCACAAGATACTTCCACAGCTGATAAACTCGTACGAGTATGGAGATGCGGGCTCCGCTGTGCTTGCGCCCATGTTCAAGGTAGGCCTATGGTTATGCCATCAAAAGAGCAATCAATAAATGTATTCCCAAAAATGTTTTTGCAGCTGGGCAAACTGTTGGACGAGTTGGAATATCAGAAGCGGATTGTGCCCTGCGTCGTCAAGTTGTTTGCCTCCACGGATCGTGTGACGCGGTCACGTCTGCTGCAGCAGTTGGATCTGTTCATAGCCCATCTGCAGCCACAGGTGGTCAACGATCAGATATTCCCGCAAGTGGCTCATGGATTTCTGGACACAAATGCCACCATTCGCGAGCAGACGGTCAAATCGATCATTCATTTGGCTCCCAAGTTGAATTACAATAATCTCAACGTGGAGGTTCTGCGCCATTTTGCGCGTCTGCAGGCGCGCGATGATCAGGGTGGCATCCGGACCAATACGACCGTGTGCCTGGGCAAGATTGCACCGCATTTGCATCCGCAGGTGCGTCAGCGTGTCCTGGTCTCTGCCTTTATTCGTGCCATGCGAGATCCATTCCCGCCGGCACGTGTGGCCGGCGTATTGGCGCTGGCCGCCACCCAGCAGTACTTTTTGCTCAGCGAGGTGGCCAATCGTGTCTTGCCATCGCTGTGTTCGCTGAGCGTTGACCCGGAGAAGACAGTGCGCGATCCGGCGTTTAAAACCATACGCGGATTCCTGGGCAAGTTGGAGAAGGTATCCGAGGATCCCAGTTTGCGTGAGACGATGGGTGAGACTTTCAGAACTAAATGAATCGTTAAACGAAATGCTAAAATATACATTTTGCAGAGGCTGATGTGCACACGGCAACGCCATCGATCGGCAATGCTGCAGCCACCTGGGCGGGATGGGCTGTGACGGCCGTTACAGCCAAGTTCTATCGCAGCCAAAGTGATTCATCTAGACCAAGACCACCTTTAACTGGACGCAATCTATCCAAGCCAGCGTCGCTTGGTGAGTTTTTGGACTGGTGGTCTGCCTTTGTCTTGGATCTAATTTGTATCGTTTTTTTTTTTTTTTTTTGTACTTTCAGAGCAACCATCGAGCAGCAGCCTTTCTACCACCACAAGTAGTGTTACCTCAATGACCTCGCTGGAGCATGAGAGCAATGAGACCTCCGCCTCGGCCTCCGACTATGGCAACAACGATTGGGACAACGAAAACTGGGGGAAATGGATGTAAGCATAAAGCCATAAAACCATAAAGAAAGACTTACATTAAATGGGTTTTCCGCAGACCTCTCAGGATCCCAGCAGTCCGCTGGCAGCCACCTCCAACAATGGTGGTGCATTGGTGGCCACCAATGCCCTGATTGAGGTGCGCGATGGCTGGGACAACGAGGAATGGGGTAGCCTCGAAGAGGATCCGGTAAGTTAAAAAATATATCATTGGTTCCATTCCATGCTGATTGCCATTCATTGCAGTGCGAGGAGGAGGAGCAGGCGGAACAGGAACACCAACAGCAGCAGCTGTTGGCAAGACAATCGATATCCTCCACAACATCATCCAGTCAGCAGCAGCAGCATCGTCCGCTGCTGCCGCACCAGCATCCGCATCAACAGCAGCTGCAGCAGCACGAACTAAACGAGCTGATCGAACCGCTGGCCAAACTCAATTCCCATGTCACGTCGCCGTCGAAGAGCCAGCAGCAGAACATGCTGCGGCCCAAGGAGCTGCCCAATCTATCCAGCAGCAATACGTCGCCCACGTCGGCAACTGCCAATTGCAATAATATAAGCCCGCCTTCGTCGCATTTGAATAATTCGACGCATAATGCCAATTGGAATAGCGATTCGTGGGCCGATGGTGAATTTGAGACGCTGGAGGAGCCGGGTATGGGTGAGTGTTCTCCTTCAACTCAGAGATAGATAAAGAGAGATCTACTGCTAATGTGAATCCGTTTGCTCTTTAGGCAATAAACTGGATGATGCGCGGCGCAAGCGCGAGGAGAAGAAACTGCAGCGACAACGTGAACTGGAGGCTCGTCGCGCCCAGCGAGCGACTGGCCCATTGAAATTGGGCGCCAAAAAGCTTTAAAAGTAATAACCGAATAACAGCATTGTGTGTTTTATATAGCTGTTATTTCCATAACCCCCTCTCCCCTCAATTAAATTTAAGCTCCCATAAAGTGTATTTGTATATTTCTAAATGCGTGTGTGCATCCCCCCTGTGTATGTGTGTGTACTCGTAAATGTTTTGCATTCAATGCAATCTCAGTGTTTTTTGGAGCCTCCAATTTCGATACAGTTTATAGCCATATTATACATAGTCGTAATGCCGGCACCCGATATTCACTAATGTATCTCTCTTACGAAATTTCAAATGTAAAGCACTGTAATTAAAAATGTAATTTATATTTATATAAAACCCCCTCCCCCCAAGCAGTAGTTAGTAAATATGTAACTTCAAATTTGTACTTTTTAGTAATCGAAAGAAATCAACTAAAATATAGCGATGAGCCCTTGCCCTTGCAGGGCCAACTCAACGTAGCCTGTGTTGAGATTACATTTTGATATAAGAAATGTTAGAAGAAAGCATGTCCAAGGTCCGAATCTCTGCAGGGGATCCATCTGCAGGGAATTTTTGTGTAAATTGAGGTGTGAAAGGATTCAATATCAAAGTTGGAAGATGGATAAACGGAAAGTGAAATCTTTTCCCACTCCTACTATCAGTGTGTGCCTGTTTTTCTCTCTCTCTCTGTGTGGTTGTCTGTGTGTGCTTGAGCGTTTTCCTAACTTATTTTACTCGCCAATTTTCCAAGCTAGAAAAGAAAAGTATTCCATATTAGATTTTCTAGCAGCGCTGTAAGAAGACAAACATTTAAATGAATAAATAAAAAAACAAAATAAAAAATATTTTTGCGAATAGAGAGCGTAACCAAAAATTTGTGAATTTTAATACATTAATATACAAAAAAAAAATATAATACAAAGTACATATTTTTATATAGCTCATAATAAATGGAAACGAATTAAATAGAACCAACAGCAACTAACAAACAAACAACAAAAAAAAAAAAGAGAAAAAACGCAAACCAAACACAAGCAATTAGTGAATGGAAACAAATTTTGATAGCTTTTCCACAGAAATAACATTTTTGAATCGTATGTAGTTGAAATTGCACTTGTTATATTGATGATAAGTATCGTATCCTATGTTTGCTGCATACATATGTACATACGTATGTATGTATGTATGGTAGGATCGTGATTAATTGCGTTTTCTTTTTCTACGGCATTTTTAAAGTATTTTCCCCGAGTAAGGAACAGCACCAAAAAACCGCAAGGCCATTTATTGCATGTGAAAACTATTAGAGTTGCCTAAGCATTACAAAAACACACTGATAACTTTTGAAAGTCCTGTACATATACAAATATAAGTATACCAGATTATACATACATACATATACCTTAACATACATATATGCCGATTTTTTCCAATACCTCAATATCAGTGTACAATTTTTCCATAATACATATATTTTTGAAATACGAAAATAATAACCCAAAATGAAAGTAACAAACAAAAAACAAAAGTGTTGAATTTTTGAAATCTCATTGTTGTCGAAGCAGCAGCAGCGTCTGTGTGTGTGTATGGGAAAACATATACCTTTTGCATACATTCCAAGCAAACATATTGTATATTTGTAATTTATGCAACTCGACCCACAGCTCCCCTATGGTCACGCCTTCAGCCTCCAGTCTACAGTCTCTCGTTCCTCAAGCTCCCTGGCATTCATTGGCAAAACATTTTTCGTACAATCCAAAAAATTCTCTCAGAAAATTCAACATTTGAATAAAAATAAAAGAAAAACATATAATTGATATATGGAAAATTTATTGTTTAGAAAAATTTTTAAGACTGCAAAAATAAACATAAAATTCATTGAGAGTGCTAATGATAAAAACAAAAAAAAAGAGAAAAAAAAACCAAGATTATTTAGTACTAATCATCAATAAATTTTGAAATAATAAAAAACAACTAAAAAATTGTTTTCATTTTGTGTTGGGACTACGTTTTGCGCTTCAGCACTTTACTTGCTTTAATTGGAGACCTAAATCTACTTGTTTTTATTCTTTTAATTGATATCCAGGGATGGTTCTCCCACATCTGGTTGTGCAGACAAAAACCGGATACAGGCATCTGTTTTTCCAACTGTTTACCAGCTTCGCCCGCTAATTGCAACAATTCAGACTGAACGTGGTTGATATGGCCTTGGTTTTAACAGCTGTTTTGGCTAGCTTCGAGGATAATTTAGATCGGTTGGGAGAGATAAAGCGGCAAAGAACGGAAAAGAACAAAGATATTGGTAAAATGAAAACATGAGAGGCGAATGTGAGGCAGTTGAACAAATGTACAAACAATGTACAATATTGCCAAGTTCAAGGCTACAATTATGCAGCTACTTTGCTTTTTAATCAATTAACTTTTCGACCAATATGGTCTTAGAAGACTAGAAATACTTTATTAATGAACATTATTATCAGCCCCTTCCACAAATGACATATATTTTTCGTAGCATACTTTTCTGGAGCATAGCCAAAGCATCAAATATCTTTCAGCACTCTTATCCTGCTCAATACCAATTGAAATGAGTCTGAATATGCGGCAATTAATGCTCCTTGGAAGTCCCCCAATGTCATAACGTTGTTTTGCCAACTGCCACAACACAGAGTGCTATTTTTAAGAGTGCGACTGCACAACTTTGCTTTTCTCACGCGCTCGTTTCGCAGCTAATTTGTTGCATCGTTGCCTGGTGGCAAATGGGCGAGTATGTACTTGCAACTGAAGCTGCCACTCAGCTGCCACTCTGGGGGTCAGAGCTGCCCTTGCCGTGAGTAATTGCCTCACCCATTGGCGTGGCGACTTGCGACTTGTGGCTTGCGGCTTCGGCTTCGGTTATACCTAAAATAGGTTTTACGCTGAGTAAAATAACCAAAACGAAACCAGAAGAAAATAAGACTTGGAATGCTATTAATAGACGCTGAAGTCATTCCGTTGAGGGGGAGGTAGCCATAGCCGTTGCCGTTGCCGTCGCCGTAGCCGTATCGCAGGCGATAGAGCTGCACTTGCATTACTCATACGCCCTGTCCTCCCCTACCCACCCAGATCTCGCGTGTCTAATTGTGCGGCAGAAAATAAAGCGAACAGCAATTGCCTCTGCCTCTGCCTCTGTGTATAATTAAATAGTTTGTCGTGATAAAGTTGTGCAAATATTGAGATCATTATGGTAATTTCAGTTGCAGCAAATCCATCAGCAGCAAAAGCTGGCAACAGCAGCCGCATCTTGGCCATTCATTTTTCGCTTATTAAACTTGAAAATATGTTTCGTTTTTTGTTGCTTTTCTGTGTGGATTTGTCACCGATGTTAAAGCGATGCTGGCAATTGGTGCCGATTGGGCACGCAGGTGTGCGGCATACAGCCTTTAACGAAAATTCACATAATTTTCGCGCTCGAAGCAGCCACAAAATGCATTAAATGTTGTTACCATAGAGCGGATGTATTAAGTTTTGCTCAATCGAAGTACCTCAACCCATAGAAGATCCAGTAGCATCCGCTCATCATCTGGTTGTATCTATTATTCGACACTTTTTATCGATACTTTTAGTATGCATACAATTTAATATTTTTTGTAAATATTTATTTTTATTTTACCACTCAATATTCAACTTTCATTTGCGATTCCTTCACTTGTTCCACTTATTCCTTCAGTGTTACTTTGCATCTTTATTTCATTTGTCATGTTGTGGGTATCTTGTAGTCGTTACACAAACATTACCCATCTTAGTGTTTCTTTTTGTGCGACTTTGGACTTCGACAAAACGCCTCGCATTCGATTCAATCAAAGCGCAACGCTTGCCTCGGATCGCCTCGCCTTTGGCTTTGTTTTCGGCATCTTTTGTTGTTGTCGCTGTTGTCGCCGTTGTTGCTGTTGTTGCTGTTTCAGTTGCAGTTGTTACAAAAATTGTTGAAAATTTTAAATTAGCTGCAGTTTGCATTGGTTAATGTTTCTACATTTGTTCTCCATTTCTAGGAGCGGTCTATTTAGCATTTACATAGCCACAGCATTCTGCCGCAGCTGGATGTTTTAGATACATTTCCTCCAACTGAGACTGATGACATTTGTGTGTGTGTGTGTGTTGTATCCACCAGATTGTATGTCTCTAAAATATACATACAGTTTGAATATTTAAACAGCTGCTATACGTGCGCAAGTAGTTAGTTAATCCAACAATAAAACGGATAGCAGCATCGTAATCCATCTCCGAGTCACGGGGCTACTCCCCAGATAAGTTAGATTTTCTTTTATCAACTTGTAGAAATCCCAAGATTGATAAAATGCGATGCGCAAATTAATTCCTACTAGAAGGAAGCGTTCGATGTACTCGTAGTACGAGTATTTTTAGTAATATTCTTCTCAAGTTCGTTAGGTTGCTGGGCGGGAACTGCTCTTGAGTTGGGCATCGTATCCCAACAGAAACCCACTGATATGAGTACTTTATGAAACTCCAGAGTGCGTCATGGGGGTTTTCCCCGGCATTAACCCCAAATAGGAACATTCGAACGATATTTATGATATTTATTTTGTTGTTGCAAGTATCCGTTTTGTGCAAACACGAGGCAAACAGACAAATAATTATTATAATGAACCAATATTTGGCGAGGGCAAATGGACAAACCCCCAGATCAAACAAGGCCCATCCGAGTATGGCAAAACACGATCTGCTCTTCAATAGAAAAGGAAACCACAAAACCAGCCAAGATAAGACATGGAAATGTCGTACGGCTGTGGGGCTCGCGGTCTGTCAGTGCGTGCCCCGCTTGATAATGGCAGACCACAAGCCAAAGACGATACGAGCACGAGGATGAATCATCCATCCATCCATACGGCCATCCATCCAGTAACATGGCGACGCGTGGACACTGCTCTGCTTGCTCTTTTCTTGGCCAGCAGCCCCAACTGTTCCACGGGTTCGGCACGAGCGACTCAGACGCAGAGCGTGAGGAGTGGTAGGGCAGCAGGGGAGCGGCGCCATGAGTGAAATGAACAAATAAGTAAATAAATTTACAACTGGCGGCTGCATGCAACATTTTGTCGATGAATGAAAACGTGCTGCCAACTGGTGAAGCGGTGCTGGGGAGTGGAGGCGGTAGGGGTCTAGGGTGCACAATTAGAGCGCCTGCAAACAGGTTTTTGGCCACATGCAACAGACACAACACAACAACACAATGGAAATGGCAACAGGCAACAGGCCTGGGCTTGGAGTCGGGCTCGGGCTCGGGAGTCCGGGGCTTGCCGCACACGTGTTGATGTTGTGGCAGCGCCAGCTGAGAGCAGGCCCGACTGTGTCGCCTGCCACCAACCACCCACCACCTGGAAGCAGCCCCTTAACCAGTATCCCTCCCCCCAGTCTACCATGGCCATAAGTGGGTCAATTACAGGCTGCCATTGTCGCTTATATTACATATATCTATATATGTACATTGTACATGTGTATGCTGGCATGTATTTGTATGCCATGAGTGTGTGTTTCTGTGTCTTGCGAAATAATAAATTCAATTTCACAAAATGAGCCAAAATCAGCCAAGACCAAAAACCCGAAAACGCGTCAAAAAATTGATTGTGAAATTATAGGTAAGTACTTCTGTGGCGAATCGGTAGCCAAGCGGTCTCTTCTACGGAAAACCACCCAGCCCTATTGCCATTTCGTTGTCTTACAATTATTTATTAATAATTGATTAATCTTGATTTAAGGCACCGCCAGCCAAATGAGACAATTGACCGGAAAGTGCATGAAAGTGTTTATGGGTGTGTAGATTCGAACTGATTAGCGCGCACGATCGCCATTTTTAGAGATTACTTGTGGAACGGGTTTCATTTCTGATAGGTCTGAGATAAGGCTAAAGTTTTTGGTGTAAAGACTTTTTTTGGGGGGCTTACTTGTGGCATTTTTGAGGGTTATAATCTTATCCAAATGTTCTCACACTGAGAGCTATTACGTGTCACGTATTCGTGTCACGAATTCTGCACTGCAATACAGTGTCAGAGAACTTTTGTCATCTATCAAAGCCCAAACCTAGAACTAGTTAATCAACCCCCTGGATTGATAATTTCAAGTCTCTAGCGTGGATCTACAAAAGCATATTCCAGGCTTGGGTCTGGCTGCTGCCTGCCAGATTTGGGATCTGCTCGGTCTGCTCTTTTTTTTTGGGTCTGGATATCAGGGTCCGTCTGTCTGGCTGTCTGTCTGTCGCTCGGTCTGTCTCTCTGTCCCTCCTGCCTGCTCCGATCCCCATGCCATGTGTGTGCCGCGCCGACGCCTGGCTACGGCGATGGCGATTAATTACCCCCCGAAACGGCTTTGCTGATTTCAGCTTTACGAGCCTTTTTTAATTTTTTTGCTGGTCGTCTTTTCTTTTCTTTTCTTTGGCTGACAAGTTGAAATATGCGTCGGACACTTTTGCCAGCGAGAGAGGGGCATAAAAATACCAGAACTTGGGGTTTGTTATTTTTTTTTTGTTCACTTCTGATTGTTGGTGTTGTTTTTGGGCAGGCTTTTTCGGTTTTTATAGTTGTTTTTTTTTGGCAGGGCATTAAAACATTTTGAGGTTTCGTTGTGTTTGAAGAAGTTTTGAAGGGGTGTGGCGGGTGGAGCGGAGTGGGTGGATTGGAGCGGTTGGCCAAATCAGGCGAATCATTTAACAAGAGTTAAGGGCCCTTTTATTGTAGGGGCGGTGACGGCGAAGGTGGCCGCGTTGAATAATTCATATTTCTAGACCTAGGTCCAGTAGTCTCTCGGAACACAAAGTGCAAAGAGAGCGATCGAATTTGTATTTGG